TTTTTGTTCCCTTCTCCTCCTCCACCTCGCAAGTCTGGAGAATAGAAACGTGCCCGTGTGATCTTTTCCCATTCGCAAGACAAGCTAGATAAGTGTCCTTGACAAATTAAACAGAGCATATGAAGATGGTGGGAATTTAGGATCTTTTTTTATTATTATTCTTCTATACATGATGGCCTGAAATCTGCTGGAATTATGATATTGGAAAATAATATTTTGTTTTTTTCTGGTTAAACTTTACAGTAAGGTGTCATTAGTTAATGGATTTACTATTGTGAAGTATTCATGCATTCATTTTGCTTTGCCTTAATGCCTTTATTTATCAGGGGACACCACAGTGGAAGGAACCACCAACAATTCCAGACTATGTTTTTTGCAGCGGCTGCCCTTCCAGCTGCAACCCAATATTGGCAAACACCCATACACATTCTCACACGCACGCAAACACACACAAACACACACACACACACACACACACACACACACACACACACACACACACACACACACACACACACACACACACACACGGAGAGAGGACACTTCTGCAGCTCTCTGACTGATTATCGCTAGAAATGAACGGAAGGCTAAATGTAAAGACATGAAAACAAACATCGAGTTCAGCACTGGCATTGAGTGTGTGTGTGTGTGTGTGTGTGTGTGTGTGTGTGTGTGTGTGTGTAGTCTTGGAGGACAAACTATTTTAGGCACATGTGGAAAGACTGAGAAGCAGCAAAACAAGTGGAAAGAGTCTGGAGGAAGAGAGGGAGAAAACTGGAGGAGACGCAGAGAGAAATGAGAAGAGAGAGAGAAGAAAAGAGAGAAGTAGAAAGAAAAAGAAAGAAAGCAATAAAGAAAAAGAGAGAGAGAGTGATGGAGGAAACAAAAGAGAGACGAGACAGACGGAGAGAGAGAGAGAGCGAGCGAGCGAGCAATGAACTTCCTGCAGAGTTCAGCTGGAGTGAAAGCACACACACACACACACACACACACACACACACACACACGGAGAGAGGACACTTCTGCAGCTCTCTGACTGATTATCGCTAGAAATGAATGGAAGGCTAAATGTAAAGACATGAAAACAAACATCGAGTTCAGCACTGGCATTGAGTGTGTGTGTGTGTGTGTGTGTGTGTGTGTGTGTGTGTGTGTGTGTGTGTGTGAGAGAGCAAGGTGCTGTCTTTTGGCCCGTTTCTACTGAGGGGTATAGTACGGCAGGCATGGGACGCTAACCGTTTTGAAGGTATACAGCGGTTTGGAAAAGTCAAGGTTTTAAAACCGTAAAAATGTTCTGTAATATTGCTTTTAAGGTTTGTGCACAACCTTTATTTACATTCTTTTTAGGAGTCGGTGCGTCAACATATGGTGCAGTGGCACGTCAGGGCATCCTGTGTTCGAATCCCGACTTGAGGACATTTTCCTACCCTACCCCCCTCTCTCTCTCTCTCTCTCCAACTTCGCTTCCTGTCTCAGGCCCCGTTTACACTAGTGCGTTTTAGTTTTAAAACGGCGTTGTAGAATGAAAACGATCCGCGTCCACACTCGCGTTTTACCCAGCGTTTCTGAACTGCTCTCCGTCCACACCAAAATGCTGAAAACGCACATCACGTGACCACACACACACACTCTCGGGCAAGCGCTCCAGCATTTCTACCCAGATGAGAGCTCTGCTTGTTGGACTGCTCATCACGCTTTTCCCGCTGGATCTAATCTCACTATATTTGCTAAACGTGATATTTCATTCATGTTGTTGTCTTTATCTAACGACATAGGCCAATTCCCTGACTTTGGTCATTGGAATCTATTAAGTTACTTGTTCACGGGTAACATGTTTTGGTTAAGTGCAAAGATAAGTTAATGATTAATCCAGGTACATTGACTGATCACTTGCCTTTATTTCCTACAATGTATAAACTTATTGTATGTTATACTTTTATAATTATCGATTATTAAAACTGATATTCAGCAAAAGAGAGGGTGCGTTTCGTATTTTCACTGAAATTGAAAGGAAACAGTTGTTATCGGCTCCGTTTTGTTATAAATATCCACACAGTGAAGATGACGCTCATATATGCAGCACGACGCCTCAACATTTCTGCTGTCTGTTAAGTTGCTAATATTAAAAAGGAAATAGGCAGTTCCTTAAATCATGTTTACATTTTATTGTTGAGAAA